ACAATCTTGCAACATAGTCATCGTATTCTCGTTTTGCAGCTAATAAAAGGAAAGCTGGGAGATATTGGGTCATGTGGGTAACAAAGGCCAAGGCGAGACTCCCGTGTCTAAGTTCACATTCTTTCCAGCATAACATTCTGGCTTCCACTATCATTTGCAACATTACCCTCTCTCACAAAGGGCTTTCCTTCAAACGTGAAATGAAACATTTCAAAAGTCTATTATTTTAGACTAGAAATGTGATATAGGAGTTAATCCTAGATAACTAGTCGTGACAGAGCTAAGATGAGGCTTTAGGACCATCTCCCTCACTGATGTACGTGCAGGATAGATAAATGATTGATTCGCTTTTTCTTCTCCAGTCCTAACTAGTTCACATATTCAGTATCTTTTTCTTCTTAAATCCTGTTTTTTAAATCTTGCAAATGTATTTTATTCTCTCCTTAGGACTCCTGTATAATTTTCTAATACTTTTCTCATTTGTGGAATCAAAGCAGTTCAAAACTCTAGAACCTTCACTGAAGTGAATGCACATCATTTATTTGCATGCCAGTTTAAGTAAATTGATTTGTTTATAAATATTAATTAGTTAATCCTGTTTGCCTTGCTAAACATGACTTAAAGAGCATATTGGCATGCCTATATTGGAAGTAGTAAAAATGAATATATTTGTGTAAGTACCTTGTCCCTTGTAACCAGTATATGAAAAGAGCTCTATCTTGCAAGTTGACCAAAATTTTTGGTGAAAACAACAAAATTTCCTACTTGTCAGTAGGATAAAGAAATTATCTTTTATTCATTCAGTAATTATTCGCTAAGTATTCAGTATCCTGGTACCAGACCTGGAGTGATTTTATGGGTGACTCTTACAAGGTAGCTAGGAGAAAGAGTAATATTTTTTAGACCTTATGGCTAGCTCTGGAGAAAGAGGTTTTGGATTCTATGACCTGCTTTGGGAAAAGGGATTCTATAATCTACTTTAGGAGAAAATGATGAGTAAGAGACCAGAAGGCAAGAGAGTAAAAGAAAGTCAGAGAGACATAGGTGTCAAGCATGGAGTATAAGATGGAAAGGAGTTAACACTGACTCTAAAGTTTAACCTGACAAATGGAGACTACCTTTTTTTTTTATTTTTGGAGAGGTTTTCGCTATAGGGCGCGTGTGCTCGCCAGACAGACAGAGAGAGACAGAAAGTGAGAAATCACCCCCCGGGGGGGATGGCCACACCGCAATCTCTTCTCCTCCATTCTTCTCTTGGGATCTTGGGCACACACGCACATGCACCCAGCATGAGTTTAAGCCACCAGTTCTGGGACTTAAACTTGAACCGTGGTCGACTACATGGGAGTTCAGCAACATAGCCATTATGCTAACTGCTGGTCCCAAATAGAGACTATCTTATACTTTATTTTTTAAAAATATTTTTAAGACGAGACAAGCAGGTGGCATGGTGGCTAAGGCGGTTGACACTCC